GGGGTGCAGAATGATAGCTTGTGCCCCTAGCGGTGGAGGTTGGGGGTGCAGAATGATAGCTTGTGCCCCTAGCGGTGGAGGTTGGGGGTCGGTGCTGCGGAATGGTCAGGAAAATTTGGTGCCATGAGCAACACAGACAGAAGCAGGAGGAGCAGCTTGCTCTATACCAAGCGGGTAAAAGATGGTTGTAGACAAAGAAAATCTTTGCAGGAGGATCAAGGAGCACATTAATAGAACCTAAGCAAGGGGAAGCACATGTAGTCTACTAAAGTGGTAACTCCTTACACACGCTGTGGCAAGAACATTTGTATTTATTTTTATTATAATACTTATGAAATATCATAACACTAGTTTTTCAACGCCATGTATGAGGCAGTGGGTGTGTGCTCCTGTGGTGACCTTAGGCAGTGGGCACAGGAAGAGGCTCACTGTGCTGGTGAGGAAACTGAGACTCCAAAGGGTTAAGTTGAAGGATGGAAATGTGGAGTGGATTCCTCAGGAGCCTGTGGGATGCAAAGCCTAGACCTGTGACCCTTTCCCTTCCCCACTTTAATGTTGGTGATTTTTCTTTTCATGGATGCTTTGCATAATATTCAGAGTCAGTATTTTATGATAGATAGAAGTCAATTTATTTTAAAGAATAATGTGAAATCTAAGGGTGTCTTTTACTCACAAGACAAGGAGAACCTGATCTTGGGGTGACTGACATCAAAAGAAGGCTCTGCTTACTCAGCAGGACATGACTTCAAGGGGGCGAGAACTGAGCTCTTCTCCCATGAGCGATGGTCCCAGCACAGCTGCAGAACAGCTGCCGGGCTCCAAGCGCATCTGAGGAGCAGGAGCTGGTGGCTACGGGCCCCAAGTGCAGTAGACTCAGCATTTCAGGCTATTCACGTTGTAGGGGCTTAAAATAAAATATTCATGAAAGAACACAGCAAGCTGTTTTTTGCAAACCTCTGGCGTTTCAGACCTTAGATATTTTTGGGCTAGGGGCAATCAATGCCAAGTGTACTCATAGGTCTAAAACTGTAACTGCTGATATATTGAATTTCCTCTGGACTAGGGATTAATGTAAGACTAATCTAAAAAAAACCTGCTTAGCATGAAAATTTTGAATGTTCTTCATTTTAAATGGTTCTGGAAATGTGAATTTGTATCTGCAAATTTTGAACTTGGTATTTGTGAAAACTGTAAGATTTGGTATGTTTAATTTTGAAGGTATATGGATACCTCTTTAATTGAAGTTGATGTGCAGCCCATGTATGTACGAGTAATGGTGAAAGGAAAGGTGCGTATAACCTTGTAGAATACAGCAGTTCCTAAAGCCAAAGCTTGGACTAAGCTGCATTGTCTTAGCCATTTTAGAAACTGTTAGTAGAATAGAAAAGAGAAAACCCAATCAGAGTGCTGCTTTCTAGGTAGATGGCTTTATGCCATCAGAATGGTATACAGATTGGGAGGGAATCAACAGATGATTATGTTGCTTGAGAAAATTAATGCTTTATAGTATAACACACATGTCTGTTGTGTTATACTTTTTTAAAGGCTGTAGCATGATCATATATGTGGTAGACTGTATGTAAATAGTATACTCATTCTAAATTGTCATTGACTATTCATGGCAACTGGAATCTTGTTATTTTTAAATAGTAGTTTTTGCTGATTGTGAACATTCATATGTGTTAGCTTAAAGACATCAAAGTGGAAATGTTATGTCTTATTTATGAGTTATTTTTTAGCTATAAACAGTCTTATTACTATTTCAGTATTTGTGATTAGTGTCTGTTCTTTAGATTGTATGTTAAATTAGGTCAAATGGTTTATGCATTTAAAAGATAGATTATATATTATTTATTATTTTTCCTCATAAGTGTAAGTCCATAACTTAACTGAATAGTACGTCTTGAATTTGTGATGGAGAGATCTCTGGAGGTGACTGCCTTGCAGCATAGCTTTTCTGCCAATAGCTTTTACTCCTTTTCAGCCCTTTCAGCTTGTGCTTCCTGCAGAAGTCAGGCCTGACAGCAGCTCTGCTAAGAGATCGCAGACGACAGGACATTTGGTGGTCTGCATGCCCAAGGTAGGTGACAGCATCTGCATTGACCTCAAGTCCCGGACACTGGTCCCTGAAGAAAGTTGACCTGTCAAAGCTAATGGCAATTTCTGATCAAGGTTCTTTCAGCTGAGGGAAACAAAAAATAGACTTAGCTCAGCTTAGGCAGGAGGACAAGGCCTGCTAAGACTGTGGTGACTACAACCAGAGGCAGCTCCTCTTCCATACTTTACAGTAGCTCTGGTCTGCTCCTTTCTGTGTCCTGCAGAGCCTGGGTGGTTGCTGGGAAGAATGAATTCATGGTTCTTCTAAGTGGAACAGGTCCTTATGAGCACTTCTACCCCATGATGATCAGTGTTTCTGTACAAGTAGCTGTGAGAGGAGATGCAGCAGGTAGGCTGTGGATCTCTAGAAAGGTTGTCCTTGATTTCCAAATATTGAGCTCACTAGCTTTGTGACTGCTGGTAAGTTATTAAAGTTTCTAGGCTTTAGGCCTCTGTCATCACTTTTCAGAGAGAAAGAGAGAGAATGAATACAAAATTTGTAGTCTAGTTAGCATAATTAGTGAGATAGCTAGTATTATTTTAATGTTTTTATGACATGGACTAGATATCATATTAACAAAAACTCTTCTTTCCTTGGGATGTTGTTAATGTGTGTGAATTTTTTTTTATATGACATAAGATCAACTGAATTTGTTTCAGTTGAACAAATATTTATTGAATGCCAGTTGCTGGCCTAAGATGAATAAGAAATATCAGGTCTTCACTAAGTCTACTACAATCAATTATAAACAATTTCTTTGCAGTCTGAGAAACACAATAGTGGTGCCATGTACTAGAAGAAGAGGCACTGCTAATTCTGACTTGGTAAGGCAGAACTACAAGACACGACTTTGAATACTGAGCCAAGTCTGATACATGGAGAGAAAGAGGGCCATGGAGCAAGGAGACAGGAAGTGTGAGGCAGTGTGTGGCCAGAGCATAGGCAGCATGAGAAAGGAAGAAGAAAGGGAAAATTAGAAAGTCTGTGATCCTTTAGATCTAGAAAGGCCCCTAAATTCTCATGTGCTCAGAAGTGGGACTTCAGGAGCTGATTGGATCATGAGGCGCTGTCCACATCCATGGATTCATCAACAGAAGAATCCAGGGTGCAGTGAGCTATGAGGAAGTGGGGCCTGGTTAGAGGCGATCATTGGGGGCGTGATCTGGAAGGATGTGTTTGCCTTCCTGGCTCCTCCCTTCTCTGTCTGCTTCCTGGCTGCCATGACTTGGGCAGCTGGTCTCTGCCAGGCCCTCCCACTGTGCCCTTCCTGTCTTGGAGCCATCTAGTTATGGACTGAATCCTCAAGAATCATGAGCCAAAACAATCTTCACCTTCAACCTGTGGGTATCAAATTCTGTCTCAGCTGAGAGAAAAGTGGCTAAGACAGGTACACAGAAGGACATTCATGGGTGACCTTAGATAGAAGTAGCACTCTAGATGCAGTTTAGTTTTGAGAATGTGGTTGTGAAACTGGGAAGGGAGATATTGGATAAGTCAAGGCCAATGCTGATAAAAGTATGAGCTATACTTTCATGCTTTCATATTTAGTGTGTGCATATGGGAAGGCATGTCCTGCTCTTAATGCTGAATGAAACAAGATTTCTGCGAGTAGATGGGATAGATAGACCACAGACAATTAAACAGTTATTCCCACTAGAAATAGCCCTATGATGAAGATAAGGCTGATCAGAAGGGAATGACTGAGGGCGTGCGACTATGCCCTGCCAATTTGGAGTCAGTGAAGGTCAGGGAAGATCTTTGTGAATGACCATGTTTAATCTGAGACCTTAATGATATCAAGGTCCAAGCGAGGAAAGGGGTGTTATGCTAATCAGAAAGAATGAAAAGTATAAGGAGACTGTGGCAGGAGCAAGACTGGTGGTCTAGAAATACAGAAAAAATGCTACAATGTCTGCAATGGAATACGTGAAGAGGACAGTAAAGTGAGAAGCCAGAAATAGACACCCCAGCTACCTTGTGCCTAGCCTTGTAGGCAGTAACAAAGAACAGGACTACTATTCCAAGTGACATGGAACAAGGAATAAAGTGATCAGATTTATATTATATTATAGATCATTCTGCCTTCTATTTGGGTTAAGAATTGAAGGATGGTAGACAAGTGTGTTGGTGCCTATTTGCAATCCCATAATCTGGGAGCTTGAGTTAATAAGGGTTAAAAGTTTCAATCCAGCCTGACCAATTTAGTGAAACCCTATCTCAAAAAGTAGGCAGAGTTGCTGGGAATATAGCTCAGTGTCATGCAAGAGAAAGGGCCCTAGCTTCAATCCCCAATCACACACACACACACACACACACACACACACACACACACACACAGAGTATGCATGCACGCTCACGACATGCACACACATACACAATCTAAGGATGAAAAGAATAGAAGAACAGAAGCTGCACAAGCAGTAAAAAGGCTTGCAGTGAGATAGTCTAGGTGACTGAGGATGGGCAATGACAGGCATTTGGTGAATTGATGACAAATTTATTTCATGAATTGTGATGACAGGGCCAACACAATGCCGATAAGTCAAGGAGGACTTTGCAATAGGGGTATACTGGTGCTGTTCTCTGAGGTGGGGAGGAGTACGGAGGAATTTGGGGAAGCAAAATTCTGGATTTATGTGGGCACCATAAACTATAGCTGCCTTGAAGCAGCTAGATGATGTCTCATATGTAAGTCATGATTTCAGTGGAGTGGGTCAGATATGAAACTGGAAATGATGAACTTAGAGATGATAGTCATAAATGTGAGACTAAAATGCTCACATTGAGGAAATCTGAGGTGGAAGAGAGAAGAGGGCCCACAGTGAAATAATAAAGGCTCTCCTTGAGTTTGGAGTTGGGAAAACAAGGAACGAGATGCAAAATTATGAATCAAAACTCCATGGGTTAGGAAGATGGACAGAAGGGCATGGCATTGCCCTGGAGGTTAAGCCATTTTAAGAAAAAGTAGGAGATTGCTTCTGAGGGAGCATAGAAGTGGTCATTGGATTTGACAAAAGCCAGGCCGTCTATCACCTTGATAAAAGTCATTTCAGTGGGGCAGAGAAGTTGAAAACTTGTGTAAAGGATGAATAGGAGAATGGGCAATAGGGACATGGAGACCAGAATTTCAGGCAGTGGCTTCGGGAAGTTTTGCTGTAATTATGAATAGATTAATAGGCAAGTGGCAAGAGGGCCATGAAAATTCAAGCAATAGTTTTTGAGGCTGTAGTTGATATAGTTAGAAGAAATATTATAGAAATAGGAAAAATGATTCATTGGATATTGAGTGGAAAATTGAAGATGAAGATATAGGTTGCCCTTCCCTGGGGGGTTAAAAATTGTAGTGTTTTTAACTTCCAAGGACTGATAGGGCTGTCTCTGCTGACTTTTGGAATTTTTAACTTTGATCTCAGATTACACTATTTAAGACAGAAGTTGTGGGGCAGCCAGGTAGACTCACCACATATAGATAACCACCCTGAAAGAACTTAAAGATATTAAACATTTTCATTTGTCTCTATGAAGTATCTAAGTTCCTCATTATAGGCTCTACGAATCACTTCAGTGTCATCTGCTGTAAGCTGCAGAACCCCAAACAAAAGTGACTGACTATAAAGAACTAGCACAAAGGATTGTAGTCACTCTGAAACTTGTTCTCAGAGAAATTTTTCCCATGAGAGGAGAACTGGCAGGGAATCAGCCAATATCTTTTCTTGATCTCTTCTTACATGACATAGCCTGAGGGAGAGGGTCTCTCTCCCTCTACACTGCCTCGGTCAGTCAACTAAAGAGCCCCTCCACTCCAGGCTTGCTTCACCCTGGGTGGCAAAACCAATCTCTAGCCAAAGAGACAAAGAGATGGGATTACTTGAACTTGTTTCTATGAGCTTGACTTCTTCCCTGGAGCTAGGGTCAGGTCACCTTTGCCCACCCAGGTCAAGTCAAATTTCAAAGGAGAAGGGTAGAGAAACCAGTTGGAAGAAGGTTCTATCAGCAAGAAAGGGAATGAGAATGGCGTAGGAGTGCCTGCTCTGAAGAACATAAGCTTGATTAACCAGTGAGGTTTCTGTGGTGATTTCATAATCCTTATTTTCCTATAGCCAATTTTCTAGCAGATTGATTGTAGATTATCAATTATGCATTTTTTATGCTAAAGCAAAGGTAGCAAGTATAATTTGTTATGAAACAATAAAATAAATAGAACTATAAGCATCATATTGTCCTTAGTACACTTAAGGGAATACTTCTATAGTAATATCAGAGATAGCAAAGAGAATATCAAATAGGAATATCAAAGAGAAATCTAAGAGATGATTTCATTTTCTCAGGATCTTGATAATAGTTATTTGTGTGGCACTGTGATAAACAACCTTATGTTTGTCTGCAAACTTCTAATTCAAAAGGCAAAGATTAAATGCACCCTTGCTATTTCCTGTGGAGAAATCAAGAGACAATTCGTATGCTTTTTACAGGGTGTCACAGAATTGATGGAAAAGATCTCTGCTGCCATGTTAATGTACCTTTTAAATGAATACAACATTCTGTTTCTATTTTTTCTTCTGGCTTTTTAAGAAATATATTTATTTATTTGATGCAGAGTCTAGCCACACAGTTTTGACTCGGAGTGATTCTCCTGTCTCAGCTTCCTCAACACTGGGATAATAGGTGTGTGCCACCATAACCAGTTTTGGGTGGATGGTGTGGCATGCCCACAGTTTTGGATCGAGCATGGCATGTGGTACTGGGGATTGAACCTAGGTCCTTGTGCTTGCCAGGCAGGCACTTAGACCACCAAGCTATCTCGCCAGCCCTCCTTTTGACTTTTGTGGCTGTCTAAATTTTAAGTTTGTACTTGGCCTAAAGGAGAAATAATTTATAAAGAAGGATCAAGAATTGTTCAATTCTTTCCTCAATGATGGGCTATAAATAACATTTTTCCTTTGAGGTATGTATTTATTAAGATTTTAGACTATTATGGTAAA